GCCAAGAAAAAATACAAACAATTTATAAAAAAAATAGAATAAAAATAAGAAATAAAGAATAAAAATATGTTTTTTCAAAAAATAGTTCACAAACTATAAAAAACCAAAAAAAGAAAAAAAACTAAAGGTAAAAATTACTTTCCGGAAAAAATTGCTTAGGAACAATTAAGAAGCCAAGAAAATATTAAAAGCGAAGGTAAATCCCCCAACTCCGGCCCGGTTTTTTACCCCAAATTTTAGACATTTTGGGCCGGTCAGTGGCAAAATCCGGCCCTGAAACTGGAGGCAGCGGTCTAGGGTACCCTGAAGTAATTTTAATTTTTTTGTTTTTATTTTTTTTTAATTTTGATTTTTTTGATTGAAAGTGATTTTTTTTTGTAAAAAAAAAAATCGAAATTTTGGGGGGGCTGTGGATATCGATGACAAGGATGGACTCTGTGGTGAAAAAAACCCTCAACTAAATACAATTGAAAATAATTTGTAATTAATTGAAACAAATAAATTTTATTTTATTTATTACAAATTTTGTTTAATCACTTGAAGAAGTCCATTTTTGGGCCCACACAGACCCAAAAAATCGTCCATATCGACCGTCCAAATCATAAGTCCCGCCATATTGTGCTCTTTTGCAAACTTAACCTAAAAAAAATATAACAAAAAAGAAACTCAAAAAAAAAAAAAAACCTTCAAGGCCACTGACTCCTCATCGTCATAGCCAATCCATTGGTCGTCTTTATACTTGTATGGGACTTTCTGTTGGTCGTCAAACACCCTCGTCCAATCACCGGTAAACTCACAAATCTTTAAACAAATCAAAAGAGAAATTAGAACCGCCCCTTGATTACGATTGGATCATAGATTATCCCTCCCCTTCTTAAGTCAGTTACTAAGCAACACGACCAATCACTGCATTGTTAATGCCCCTCTTAAGTCAGTTTCTAAGCAACACGACCAATCGCTGCATTGTTTTGTTACCCTACCAACTGACTTATTTACTCCCACTCTCAATGTATTGCCTAGCAACTGAGACTTATTTACTCCCACTCTCAATGTATTGCCTAGCAACTGAGACTTATTTACTCCCACTCTCACTGTATTGCCTAGCAACTGACTTATTTATTACCTCGTTGAAGCCCATGATGCCGTAGCCTTTGGTGTAGGGCCCCGACATGCCGGCGTCGATGACCGGCGCCCCCAGGTCGTGGTGTGCCGGGTCAGCCAGCTGGAAAGTGTGCCCATAGAAGGCCAACCCAATGGTAAGTTTCGATGGGTCTGCCCCAGCGTTGACCCAGTTGACCACGGTCGAATTGACGTTTTCGTACTCTTTCTGCCATGGGGTGTCGGCGCCGCCCCAATAAAGGGGGGAGTTTTCGGCGGCGACGCCGCCCCCAGGAATGTGGAAGTCGTAGGTCATGAGGTTGATGATGTCCACGTTTTGGGACATGCCGGGGATGTCGTAGGCGGCGTCGATGGGGATGGCCGAGACGGCGATGGTCAAGATGTGGCCCTTGGGGGCGAAGGCTTCTCGGATCTCGCGGAGAAGAGTTACGAAATTTTCCTGAAAAAAAAAAAAAAACGATAAGATAAAAATAAAAAAAATAATTTTTTTGAAAAAATTGATTAGAGACCACTAAGAAGCCAAGAAAAAATAGAAAAAATAATAAAA